ATGATATCCCGCAGGCGATGAATTACGGTGCTCTGATAGATTACGTATTCTAACACTCAGTATTGTCATCGTAATGAATGAGGGCTCTGAACTACGTCACACTACCCACGCCAAAAATAAAAATAAATAAATAAACAAATAAAAGAATCGAACTCAGGCCTCATCAGAAACGTAATATGTTTCAGTTAAATTCGAAAGGAAGCCGGTTTGATTCTCGCTCTGTCCCGGTACGTCCTGACATTTGTCATAGTTCACCTTTGTGTGTGAGGATAAATTATACAACAGCAAGTAACTCCATAGAATCGAGAGGATTTATCCTTAACAAGCTTATAGTCGCTCAGCTGGTGAATAAATCCACGCGTTTGTAAAAATCCGAATATTTTCTCTTGTGTCCATAAGAGCTCATCTGAGCCAGATTAATCCAGTTCAGATCCTCACACTAATTTTCTTGAATCCAAATTTTAAAACCTGGTGAAGAAAACAGATTATATGAAGTCTCGCTTAGCCCCAAACTAGAGATGTCAGTTCTCACAGCGTTATCCCACATTCTTCCGCATTTATCAGTCACAATAACCTTCTTCTACGTTCCACACCGCGACACAAAACCTCAGGAGTAGGTACGTAGTTGTAAAATAACAAAATAACCTGACATTTTTTATATTCTCCGTTGTCTGTTTCAGTATGTTTTGTTACACAAATGCAATATTAAAGAGTTTTTTTTTTCCAGAAACTTAAACAGTGATAAGCTATGCTAACAGGACTTTGTTTGTTCCTTCTATTTGGGCGGCCAATGTTGAATTTTGAGTAACGAAGGATAGCTAGTGTTCACACCTCTTTGTCACTCCCCCACCACTAATAAACGTCATCAGACAGACAGACAGACTGCACGTGCAGAACGTTTAGCAACGATTATGAAACACATCTTTCCTAACTTAGAGCCTGCTCAGTTACAATTCTGATCAATTAGAGTTCTGTCTTATTCAGCATGAGGGGATTCGACACTGCTCTACGTAAAGCGACGACGTTTCGGACCTGCAAAAATTAAGATAATCTCCCACCTTCCTTTTTGACAAAAGAGTGTGCCTCAAATTTATAAAAAATTATTATTACTTCTCGCATAAGTAAATTTAATGTGATACAAGTGTTTTTGTGTTTATAAAAACTTCAAAAGTTGTATTAATAACTTCAAGAACTTGATTGGTTGTAATTTGCGTGTGTGACGGTTAAAATGAAGTACAATGAACAAGTTAATTAAAGCTCTGTGTTAACTTCATTATAATATTGGAATGACACCGTTCCTACTTGTGACGTTGCTGATATGCAGTTCCAGTATTCTTCAAGGAACTTCCGGTAAACGGTAAGGTACAGACCTATAAATCATTATTAAGAAACACCTCTGTAGCCAACACATACACCGCCGGGCCATTAAACGCTGATTTAATCCTCTGAAGCACAAACATCACCTAAAAATATTTTTAAAAATTATAAACAATTAACAAATTTATTTTCTACCTCAAAGAACACGTAATGCTTCCTTCCAGATCCTTTCCTATTCACTATTATCCTTTCAAACGACGCTACATGGTCTGAGCTACTGAAAAACGTTGTTAAATAAATTATAAATACATTAATAAATACATAAAAGTAATGCTTATCTACTGCAAAGGCTGATGGACCAGTGCTGTTAGAGTAATAATGTGTGTTTGCTATGAGAATCGTACTAGATACTTAAATATCGTCTATGAGCATAATGTAGAATTATTGAGTTCTAAAGAATGCTGTAACTATATGAATTAATCATGTAATTTATGGATTAAATAAGATTAATGTAAATGCGTAACAGTTTTATGGCCAAAATAACTCACTCATAAAACATCCTTTTATTTTCTATGTAATACTCTTTACTAATTAAAATTATGGTCACGTTAATTAACTTCAATGTAATTGTTACATTTTATCCCCACCCCCCGATATATATTATTTTTATTATTTTCTTGAACGATTATTAATAGGGTTTTTTCCTTTCGTCACATTCTTTATCTAATACAGTTTATGGTTTCGGGAGAAGATATTTTTATTGAAAAATGAAATCACGCACATTCGAAAAATCATTCAATTTCTAAGCTGAAGATGTCAAGTAAAAATATTAAAGAAGATCTATATCAGATTTTAATTGGACTGGTCCAGAATCAATTAAGGAGATTGCGTTTGGCTCAGAAACTGTACCACGTGAAAACATAATTAATTTTTCTACAATATAAATAGGCTTGCAATGAATGTAACACTTGGGACTCTACCGTGTAGGGTAAACATTGAAGTGTGCCTTGTGTATCTTATTCAATTTGACTTTATTTACAAAGTAAATTTATTCTGTGTACCCCGGAAAAATAAAGAAGTCAAAATCTAACAAACCTGTGTCACAAACTAATCAGACAACATGATTAACAGCCTTACTCCTATTTTGAGTTATGTACAAGCGTATCACTTGGAATAAAACGAAAGTGTTTCAAATTTGGGAACACGTTCAAAAGACAATTTGTTGACAAGATGTTGGACAGTGGCTTGCCAAAGAGTGAATGAATCGGGGTATTACTTTCTGTAATAATTTCGAAATTCTCCACCGAGTAGTGTCAGGGGAATAAAATACGAGATATAGAATCACATACCTAGACGAAAATTATACATCTCTGAAAAGTAGGCGGATAAAATACTGATGTGGATTCCATAATAACAGAGGATTTCTTGAAGATGTAAATAATTATCGACTATCAAAGAAACGGTATACTTGTAAGATTTGAGGTTTTCACAGCGATGAGTATGAAGATTTCTATCTTCTGGGTTGTTGCGACGTGTAGTCTGGTAGATGTTAACCAACGTTTCAGAGGTCATACTGCCTCCGTCATCAGGGCGAATAAAATATGAAGATTTCTGTCTTCTGGGTTGTTGCGCTGTGTAGACTGGTCGATGTTAACCAATGTTTCAGAGGTCATACTGCCTCCGTCATCAGGGCGATGAATATATTCATATATAACATCGACCAGACTTCACAGCGCAAGAACCCAGAAGACAGAAATCTTCATACTTATCGCCCTGATGATGGAGGCAGTATGACCCCTGAAACGTTGGTAAACATCTACCAGACTACACAGCACAACAACCCAGAAGACAGAAATATTCAAACGTTATACTTAATCTTTCCTAGGATTGGCGGTTTTTTTGGAGTAAAGGATCATCTTGAATACTGAACTAACAACAAGCAGGTGACATGATTATAATTTCCCATTTGGACACAAAACTGAGCAGTATACACAATACACGTGATTAGGCAGACTCGTAGACAATGTGTTGTTGACATTATCGTAAGCGTCATCACCAAAACTCTGTGTTCTAACCAAATTATGTCGTAAAAGGACATCATCCCGTCCAAGGCATTCCAGAGTAAGATTTGAAATTATTTCAAGGTCACACCGCCGTCCAACAGCACAACACTCGCGTAACACATTTAACCACACATTTTAATTTATAATGGCACCCTGCGAGAAACATCCAAGTGTTTAATTAATTCTGTGTGTGTTAAGGACGTCTAAGTACTCAAGCGTCGGGAAAACAGTGCCCCCCGTGGCCCAGACGCTAATGAGATTCATTTTCGACGCGCTGCACCGCCGAAATCCGTGCAGTGCGTCGCGTATGCAACGCAGGATGTGCCAGGAGAAGAGCATCCGAAACGCGTTGCTCAGTGCGAGAGTACTGGCTGCTACGCAGTGCCAAGAAAACTTCCGGTACGAAACCTGGAACTGCTCCAGCGTACACCGGAACATCAGTTTCTCCGACGGCAACAAAGGTATTATGACCGACATATTTCTTCATAATCTGATCGTTAATAATAAGCTTCTTTCTCTGAAGACGAAAATCTACAGTGCATCCGTTGATAAGTTGGCTGTTATTCAACCTTATTGAGAATTTCTTTGCTTTTGTGGAATTTTAAACTCCAACACCGTGATTACATATACTATATACTGAGACAGCTGAATCCAATCCATAATTGCACATCCTGATTCTCGTAGATGATCCGTCTTTGCTCAAATTCTCTTAAGTCTGAACTTTCTTTCAGTTTTTTCTGAATATAATCTCTGTTGGTACGTCTTATTTCATCATGCGTGCTATGTTTAACCCCATCGTAATCTCCGTCATTCAGTAACTGTTACAAGTAAATGTAGATGTAATTTCCTTCAGTCCTTCAATGCACAGTTGGTTTGAATACCTTCGCCAGAATTTTGTTGTCAAATGCCATCATTAAGCGCGAAAATCTTATAATTCTGTCCGAGGAGTTTTTTTTTTTAATTTGGGAAACCAAAAATTTGTTCGATATGAATTTCTTAATAAATAAGACAATTTTTTTAGGGATATTCAAGTTTTTATTTCTAAATTACTTAGGGACCTGCAGACAATGGCCCCGAATATGACGACAGAAAATTAGTGTCGTTCAGGACCACTTCTCTTCAGTTCAGAATATCTCCAACACTCACTCACTTCCATCGGAAACATTGCAGCTCTCAGCGTCATTCATTTGTTTGTAGTGCTGAATGATTTGAGCCTAGCTTCCGCGTTCTCGCGTTGCTCTGAACTTGAGTACAGGAGCGCATACCACACGCATCACACCCAACCGTGAGGGCGACCTAAGTAACTTTGCCAATCTGACGTTTGTGGCCACAGCGCTGTAATTAGTAATTAGGGTAAAGACGGCCGTCTTCCGGGTTGTTGCGCCGTGTAGTCTAGTAGAAGTTTACCGACGTTTCAGAGGTCCTCGCTGCCTCCATCATTAGGGTTTTCATAATTTCGGCCGGTAAGTGGCAATCGTGGCAAGATTTTCTTGGCTTTTCTCAGTGTATCCTAAGCTTGTGCCACGGTGGTCTAGCGGTTAGAACGCCGGCCTTGTAATCCTGGGGTCTCGGGTTCGGTGCCCGAATTTATAACTTGTGTTGGGCAAGGCCGTGGTCTAGGCAACACGGAGTTTTCCTCCGTGGCATCCCAACAACTAGCTGTTAGAACGCTGGCCTTGTAATCCTGGGGTCTCGGGTTCGATTCCCGGCGGGGTCCGAATTTATAACTTGTGTTGGGCAAGGCCGTGGTCTAGGCAACACGTAGTTTTCCTCTGTGGGCTTCCCCGGTTTCTCCGTGGCATCCCAACAATTACTCCATTCACACACAGAAGAAGGCAATGGCAAACCACTTCTGGATCATCTGCCAAGAACGTATATGAACATGTCCCAGTCCGAGAAAAGGATGCAAGGATCCTGTTCATATGGACCTGTCGTCAGACAGAACACTAAATAAATAAAATCCTAAGCTTATTATTAATTATAACTTACGGATTCATTAAGGATAAAATTCTATTGGATCTGGTCCCATCTGAGAACAATTTTGATTTCCGACAATCATTCCACTAGAAAATTTCCCATTTTCATTCCACGGTAATTTCTGGTGGTTATGCCAATGGGCGTGTCGCGGTCCTTGAGCTATTACAACAGCTGCTAACAATCATGTCATTGTAGATCTCTTAATATCAATATACCATGATTATTTTTATTTCAGGCCATGATAATTTTCGGGAATGCCTCTAAGGGTACAGGTCACACGCGCTGATAAATATATTTATTTAATATTTATATAATTTATTTATAAAACAATACAAAATATTTGAAAATCCTATTCTTCCGTGCATATAATTTCATGTTACAAACGCCTCTGCTATCAGTGCAGTGTCGTTGAAACTTGACGGGTTTCGTCCTTCGGAATACTAACCTTAGGACGCCGACCGTGTTCGCAGTTTACCGCGAGACGGCGCTAATGTACGCCATGTCTGCGGCAGCGCTGACCCACGTGGTGGCCGAGTCCTGCGCCAAAGGTACCATCAGGGGCTGCCGCTGCAGGGAGGAGCTGAGACCTGAGGACACGAGGAGGATCTGGCGTTGGCAGCCCTGCGGGGACAACTTCAGCTACGGTCGACGTTTTACAAGACGTTTCACGCAGATGGGGCAGTGGCGCACGGCGGATTACCTCCACGATTTCCTGGTGCGCCATAACATGAACGTTGGCATCCAGGTTAGTTTGAAGCAGGGACTCCCACGAATACATCAGAACCCGGGCGAGAGTTCTTCTGTTTTTATGTTTTACGACTTTTGAACCGGGAACATTAAGACTACATGCATTCTGCTCTGCTCTGTCCACATTTATGGACGCTTTACTAATTATTCTCAGTCCCTCTAGGCGAATTCTTGGACAGCAACTTAGAATATGCCACAACCACTGCCTTTTTCCTTCTTCACAGTCGATACTTTGTCACAACGAAGCAAACGTCGTTATATTCGTAAACCACGAATCTATTAAACCAGTGACCTTTCAGGAGGATGAAAGGGCACAGGCCGACAGATCGGGCGAACAGGGTGACCAAGAAATGCCGACGTAGCGGGAAAATTATATTTAAAGTGTTCATCGACTGGCGAGCAGCAGATTAGACCAGGGGTTCATGGCCAACCGATGTATTTTCGTGGGCCAGTGTATATTTTTGTAATACTGCATCAGTTTGTATAATGAAAGGTAGTTACAGCCTATATAAAATATTTAATTTTAAGTAAATAATTAACAAAAAATAATAAATCAAAATTCTTAGAGAAATTATTAATTAATACGTGTTCCTGTTTTTAATAGCAAGTTAATAAATTGTCAAGATATGACGATGAACTGATTTAATTTACAATCTGGTGGCCCGCGAGCTCATAATAGAGGGCGAATGTGACCCCTATTTTTAAAGTCCGTAAAATCAATTTCTGTGGCAATTAAACAAAGTATTGAGACAGCTAATTTACTAAACAACTATTATTTTTGATATTCTCTGGTGTTTAGTCACTTCATAGCATTCCCCCCCCCCCCCACCCAAATCGTGAATAATCTTTGCACATTTTCCAAAGGTCTACAGTCATACAAAACGTTACACTTCACATGCCCACGTCATAAATTCTTAAATCTTTTTTACTTTTTATCAGAGGATTTTTACAATATTGTAACGTGGGACGGCAATGACAAAACCTGGTAATTTAAACGATTATATTGTGAATGTTTACTGTACTAACTGACTCTAGAGGAAACTGCGAGAGTGTAATGTATAATCGGTGAAGTATAATATTAAAACATCTTAAAATTCTTGCTGTCAGATCAAAACACTTTACGACGGCACGAAGGTGCTCGCGGGCACAGGTTGACGACCCCTCCTACAGAATTTCTGTACCAAACTTCGTATTGATATGAGCAATCATTCTCCACTCAACTATCTGAGTCAATCCCATGCATTTGTCACTCAAACACATTTTATTTTCAACCTATGACATGAAGTGAATTTAATATGTATTTTCCTTGTCCATGAATGTTGTGGTATCAGAAGTCAGAAAAAGAACAGCTTTCTGTTTGTGCAGAATGACAACACAGCTGAAACGTCTGTTGGTATAGCAACAGTAGATATTCAGCCAACATAACAAGTTTTATAGCCCATTCAATTCCAATTCTCATCCATTCAAGCTGTGACCTGAGGTCTTCCATCACTTTCACGTCGAGGTCGGTGCTACTCGGCACAGTCTCAGGACACGGACGGACAGACAGACAGACATGTCCGCTACCAGTGACAACGACACGCCATCTTGTATCCTATCCAATCGTCTTCCACGTTTACCCTTCCCTGTCGAATTATTCTTTCTTTTTGGTTATTTTCGTATCACCAGTTCTGAAGTCAGTTTCCTTTCTGTACAAATTAACATGGTCCGTAAAGTATCAATAACGATCTTCCAAGTTAGGTTTTATTGACTCCGGGCTCCGTGTAGGCGAAGTTCAGAAACTATTCATTTGGTTTTTGGTTCTTGTACGGAATGCTTACCTTTGTAAAAAAAAAAATTAAAATGTAGGCTTGAGTGGGGGTAGGATTCCAAGAATTGTACTGCATGAGATATTTGAAAGTTATGTGAGCCTATAAAGACGGACGTGAGTACTTCTGACAGATACAATAACTTATATCCATTACTTAAAGAACGAAAAGTTCGCTCAATCTTTACGCTAAATGTGAAGAATCTGTAACCGTGATAATTATTACACATAAGGAATTTGTTTTAAATTGGCTAATATGCTCAGAGATTGGTTGGAACACACCCACAGTTGCTGCCTGTCTGGTTAACTTTAATTTTGCCCTAAAACGCTGAATATTTCGTCTCCGGAAACTTGCGAAGCAATATTTATCTTTGTGTTTTTAAAATGTAATTAAGTTATTTATTAATAATAATTTATTACCTCGTTAATGAAAATGCCTCTCATCTTGTTTTCACATTCTAGATGCTCTATAGAGATCCAAGCGAAGAGCAGAATTTATTAAATTCTGTGGACCGAGTTTCAAAATCATTCAAACCTACGAAGGTAATGTTCGAGTGTTCTTGAAGTGGTATATCGGAGAGCAATCAGTGTTTGTGGTTGTAGTCAGATTCACAAAGTCGGCCATTTCGAGGAAGTTTTCCTTAGGTGCTGAAGAAACTCATTGGATGGTAATATTAAAATGGATACACTCTCTCTGCTAGATTATTTTGAAAATCGTCAGTCTTGCAGATAAAACAATATGAAAGTAGTAATTTTTTTTTTGGGGGGGGGGCACTGTTCCCTCACCAACTCTAGTATGCTTCAATAAAGTCTGCCTTTATCTTATTGCATGTATATAGCTTGTTTGTGCAAGGTCTGCACACATGCTGGGGAAGACCGTCATTCAGGGCAACCTATAAAAAATTAAAATAAACAAATTTTACACGTCATCTGACATATCTGGTCATAACTATGTCCAAGTAGGTTTTGATGTTCTCGTGGCAGTGACTACAAAGAAGATTACCAATATAAAATATGCATACAAACAAAACTGTTTACACTATGAAGCACACTGATGCCAAACGCGCTTCGACCTAGAAGAGATCTTCTTCATTACGCCGTCTCCTTTACAGGAGGTCGGCGACATATTATGAACAGGATCCTTCCATCCTTTTCTCGGACTGGGCCCTGTTCATATACGTTCTTGGCAGATGATCCAGAAGTGGTTTGCCATTGCCTTCTTCTGTGTGTGAATGGAGTAATTGTTGGGATGCCACGGAGGCAAACTCCGTGTTGCCTAGACCACGACCTTGCCCAGCACAAGTTACAAATTCGGGCATTGAATTTTTAATTTAGGCCAATAAACTTTTGTTTTCTCCTATGAGACTATTCGCAAAAAAAAATAAACTAACCATTCTTTGTTTTTTGTCTTAGACGTCCTTGCTCTTTGGTGGTGGATTGTCGTTTTAAACGTTTCGCCTTCTCTAAACAAAAGAGTAACGTACAACACCGTGTTTTCAGTGAGTGGAAGGGTTCAGAGGTCGTGGGAGTTTCAATCCGAAAATGCTTTTCCATAGGAGCGGCCACTTCGTTTCCCACACGGGACTTAGCAGACTTCGTTGTTGTTACATCTTGATACTGATAAGGATTCCATTGTGCTGTTTATTAGACGCTGTGGATGAACGCGGTCCGCTGAAAGCCGTGGTTATAAACAAAGGCTCATCAACTGAAGAACGCGGTGAGTCCGAAGATGGCTGTGGAGTCTGGTAAACTTCTACAACACTACACGGCGCTACAAACCCAGAAGACAGCCATCTTCGAACTGAATAAAGAGTCTGTAGTGAGCATTAACAAGGATAGTTACGTATTGTCTACGGAGGATTTATTTTTCAGAAGTAAAACTTAATGCATATTTAAGGCGTAAGGTAAATTAACTAATTCACAGCGCAGTCAACTTTATATCATATCCTACAAGAGTTAGGATTTTAACCTAATGAAACCTAAAATAACATTCTGTATTCTTCCCTGATTAATTAGATATTCGCTTGAAGCAACTCGGAAGGGGGCTCTCACTTAGAAGGCGTTGAGTAGTCCTTCGCCACAGGTGTTTCTGGCATGTGGGGAATGCATTTGCCTTGTCTTAAGATAAGAGAGGGGTGACATCGGATTGTGGCCAGGTGACATCACTGTGGGTTCCCACGGAGTGCCTAACGATGGTTTATGGAGCATCACAGCACCGAGACACGAACACGGAAAAATTGACTGCAGACAAATCGCCATGAATCTCTTCTCCTGTCGTCGCCTTTTGCTTTAAACACCGATAATGTACCACTTATGGCTACTAACAGATCCCACAGCCCTCTGTAGCTCAAAGTCGACAAGCTTGTTAAATTCCTCGTAGATTTTTTTCTCGCCGGTAAATTCTGTTTGGCCTGGACTCACTTCCTACAGTTGATGTGTCCAATTCTCGAGAAACCAAGATCCATTCCGTAATAATTTAAGTGGTTTATGAAAAGGGAAAGGAGACCCCGCTGAGAGGCACCGCCATTTTATTAATTTACAATACGATAAAAAAATTATTACGTTCAAACATCACATACTCATATGCCCATTATAACAATTACCTTTTGTTCAAAGTATTTTTACTTTTTCCTTGCAATAAATATATTAATTTAATTTGGACTCCATATTACAGTTTATTTCAATACTTAGTAAAAGAATTAGATAGACCGGCGAGTTTCGAATTGTGATTTATTGTAGAAATCTTGGTTTCCACAGGAATACTGTTCATATATTGTTGATATAAGTTTTCGACAAACGGAGTTTTTCGGAAATAAAATATTCACTTTTAATGTCCGGATAAATGTATGTTACAATACACACCTCAACTTGAGTTCCCACGTACTGAATCTGGGAGACGGTCCGAAAACATTAAAATCGCTACTAGACTCTTAATGTTTGAGAAGCAAACGCGTTGTCATGTGAGCTTTTCGTTTCTCCTGTTTGCTATGTTTTATGAACTTCAAGTCTTCTGTTACTGGGAATCAGTCAACGCTGTGTCCCGTTTAGTGAAGGCTGTACGACGTCGCCTTTAACCCGTGAACTTTTTCTTATTTGGACTAAGAAATGGCTTGTCCGCTGTGGCAGCCGCGGAGAGGCTGGCAGGTACACAGACGCTCGTTGACAAATACATACGCGACGTGGCTGTCTTCAGTGAGGGATGAGGAACGAATGACTTCTGCCATTGTGCCTTTCTCAGGCTTGTAATTCACGTCGGATGCCACAGCCAGATCGGGTACAGCTTGTCCGGCAATCTTAAGGCAGCTCTGTACTGTTCTGTTCTGTCATTGAAATCTCTACAGACGAGGTAGAGGGGGGACTGAAAAGCACGCAGCCAATCAGAGACTGCAAATATTATGCGTCATAATCACATTTGTTAACTTATAATTTAGTACAGCAGTGCTCTAATATCTTTCTCTTGTATTCTCTGGATCGCTACTGTAAGGATTATCGTTAGATTCTTCCGAGATTCTTGGGATGTGACCCCAAGCGGCTATCGAATGACAAATGGAATGCTAAGTTAACCATTAATCTCTGTCTAGTGGTGATATAGATGGTACTTAATAGAGAGGTCAGAATTTATCCTCTTTCCACACTATTGCTGTTATTATTTTCATCAAAATCGTCATCAAACATTTTCACAAAGTCCTTGAGAAATTGATGGTCCCTCACGTACACAGGTCAGGTCAGATCTACCTCACTGCATAAATGTTAATTCTCCTAATATTTTGGTAACACTGCATGTCGTATTTTCTCAAACCTCGGACAGGAAGACCACCGTTTCGCGGCGTAGGAAAATATTTCATATTCTGAATTAATTTTATGTGTTTTATAATCTTTTGAGAGGCATTTTAATTTTTTATTTTATTTTAAGTATTGGATTCTAGTCTGTATTATTCATAGTCTGGATATTACAATGCGAATACTATGGTAATCGTATAAGTAATTATCAGATTCTGAAGGCTATCAGAGATGTTCATGCCTTCTTCCACTTTAATTACCGCGTTCTCGCCCAAACTTTACGGATTACGACTGATGTAACAACAAATCTGTGAGTTTCGTGTTTCTTGTACAGGCAGTTGGGCAGATGAAGGACGTGTGTAAGTGCCATGGTTTGTCTGGTTCTTGTACTGCTACGACGTGTTGGAAGCGTCTCAAACCATTCAAGGAGACAGCGGAGATACTGAAAGCGAGCTACTATAAGGTAAGGTGCAGAACCTGCCCCACAGTGCAAAGTCCATTTTTCCCGTGTCAAAGGTAAAGATTACAAACTGTCCAGCTCTCCGATGTGGAGTTAGTCTCCAGTTAATTCATCACGCATGTCCGCATATGCTCTTCAGAACTGTGTGCTATTTTTTTAAATTTAAATTTAATTTTAATCTTACCGTCGTCCTACTGTTCATGTAATTGCCACAAGCCTCAATCGGCAGGCGCAGATCACATCCTCGAGCAACCACGCATCGCCGAAGAGGGGTTCCAAACGCCTGGCGCCCAAGAGCAACTTGATCTACGTTCAAGATTCACCCGATTTCTGCCAGATGACTCGCGGACGTCGATGCCTGAACCCGGAAAACTGCGGGACTTTGTGCTGTTGTCGGGGTTACATTTCCATGACAACAGCGGAGGATCGGAGCTGCAACTGTCGCTGGGTGTCCCGACATTATACACTCTCGTGTAGCAAGTGTACGTTCATGAAAGACGTCTATATTTGTAAGTGAGGCATTTCGCGGTCTTCAGAAGCGAAATACTTAATCTTCAAGGTTCGTTCTACAGCCTCCTGCAACGAAATGGTAAAAATTTCTAACGATTCGGGGCGAAAAAATTGTTTTCTCTTTTCTTATTTCGAAGCTGGACATAAAAAATTGAAAATTTCTCTATATCGCCGGCAATTTTTATCATTTCAACGCCCAGAACAACAACGAACATGTATTTGAGAAGTTTGGTGTAAAAATGACTTACATTTATTTATTAACACCACGAAAGCATTTTTTTTAGGGCTGTAGGAAACCGTCTTTACAAATTTTAACAAATATTAATGGCCCACCTTATTTCTGTACAAATTGCTAAATCAAACGGTTATTGAAAGCAATTTTTGAAATTTTCATAATAAATTTCGACCTCTAAGAGCAAATTAGATCTGAATCAGCACCAATAATTGCGTAATATTCTGTTAGACGAATGAATCGAGCGTAAATTTCCACATTAAAAGTATTTCGTGCGTTGCAACACAAGAGTAATTATGTCCGAAGTAAGAAAATTCATTAATCATGTCTTATGAGCGCTAAATTTAATTGTCCCAAAAACTAGGATTAAGGGAATTGAAAAATCTAATAATTTGTGTATAACATTCAGCGAAAATCTTTTGCTTTGTGATAATTCAGTGTCATTGCATTTCATGCTATTGAAAAACACCTGCTTATGTACGCAGTTATTTTTCATATCGCAACGAAATTTAAAACGAATGCAGCCTTGCCGAGGTAAGGGACCGTCGGGTCTCGATCCGGGATGGTGCGAGCCGAAGACCAAATTCCTGTGTCGTATTACTTCGCGAACTTGCTACAAGGAGACGCTCCTGTCTGCACTGTTGTTCCAACAGGTGGTGCCATCATGTATGAGAACACATAACTAATTATCCACACTTGACTTTTCTCTGCAGTTTACATTGTGGTGCTGTGTTGTCAATATGACGTGTTTTCCTTACAGTATCATCTTACAGATTTCAAGTGAAAATAGCTCATTAAATGGCACATAATATGAATACAAAGGTAAAACAAATAAAACTGTGCGTGTGCTTAAACACTTCACACATTTTTAATCTTGACTTTACGTGAATGTGAACGGTCAGCTCCATTTTTCGATCGTTTCCCTCCGGGAGAACAGCCCTTGTTATCCATTGGATTGAAGACTGGATACACCCACTGTTCACCCACACACTGAAGGAAGACACTCACATTCCGGTGGTCCCGGAACTTCTGCACTGAGGCCTCTAGAAACTGCAGTAGGAAACTACAAACACCAAGCTTCTGTACCTCATTGTCTGATGGTAAGGTTAGTTTACAGGGACTCTGTTCCTTTAAGGAATCATTTTAAATTATGGAACTTTGTTGAATTGAAGAAGAATGGAAAGTTGCTACTCCAGTAGGCACATTGTTATTTTCCAAACGTATTCTTACTGATTATGCATACATTATTGGTTCTGTCGGTCATTATATGCAGCCAACAGTTTAGGTATAAACGCGTAGTTAGGTTATGGATCACGTGTAGAACACAACCAATAGTTCAAAAGCCCCTGAAGATGAATGAAGTTGCGTGATACTTTCACCCAAGCATCTGTTACGCCTCTGCTAAGCCGAGAAAGATGGAAGTGGGATTCTTCAAGGTCAAAACAGTGCTCTGGTTATAGACTCATTGATCTTATCGTAGGTTATTGTAGGTTAGGTTCATGGTATGTAGTAACAAAATGCTGTTCAGACCAGCTATGAATCCCGCCCAGTAATGTATCCAATTGGAAATTAGAACTGAAATAGTCAAAGCTGAGATCACTAACCTCTATCTAGTGCCACATTTACGAAAGGCATAGGAACAATATGGGCAACAGATTGTTCAAAAACAGTTTAAACAATGTCCTGTTTTACATTTTCCTCGAGATATTAGGCAGAAAATAGAAGGAAAAATATGGAAAATTATTCTCCAGTACTTAGTAAAAGAATGAGATGGCGGCTGTTCACAGAGGAGGACTGCGTGAGACCATTTCATGTGATTGTTATTTTTTGAGGGATAAAGACGTCGTATAATTACGCTTTATTTTTACTGTAATCTTGAAACTAGGGATGTGATTCCACGGTGATTGCTGTGATAGATTTTCATTTTTAAAACACTAAATTCGAAAATAAGTAATTCTTTTACCTTTATAAGGCTCTTACGAGATTTTATACAGTATTTTACAGATTGTCATAAACTATACACTCATGTATGTACATAATTATATATATATAAATGTATAAAAATATAATAATAATGTAATATAGCAGTTATTTTATTTTCCGTACCAGTTATTTTAATGTATCTGATGTAATTTCGTATATTTTGTTATGTAGTCCAAAATACCTCATCAGAAGCAGAGAATATTTTGAAAAAATGCCAAGGTCACGATGGATGCTCGGAAATTTATGATTCATCACAGGATGAAAGTTGAAACAGTTCACGTGTTGACCAACAGATAAAAAAGTACGTGGTCATTTTGTGGTATTTATTTGGAAATTCTTAATTAGTGTTATTTAAACGAGCTGTGATTTTGGGTATCAGTCAGTGGGGGTTTCAATGTTGTAGGCCAACTACTGATAAGATTTTTCGTATTATTCAGATACTAGAGGAAAAAATTGAAGTTCTATGAGACTGCGAGCCGACATAACTCAGTTTAGTGACTACTACGAGGCTAGAGAAAGTTTTATAATGAGAAACTTCATTAATTGTACTCTTTGCCAGATATAATTAGACTGATCTAGTCAAGGAGTATGAGATTGGTAGGGCATGTAGCCTGCATGGGGGAGAAGAGGAATGCATACAGGGTTTTGGTTAGAAAACCAGAAGGAAAGAGACCACTAGGAAGACCTAGACATAGGTGGGAGGATAATGTTAAAATTTATCTTAGAGAAATGGGATGGAGTAATAGACCTGGATTCATCTGGCTCAGGATAGGGTCCATTGGCGGGATCGAGTGAACATGAACGTTCAGATTACATAAAATGCTAGGAACGTCTTGGGCGTATGATCGAGAGTATTCGGTGGAGGTTAAATATGAGAGTGGGGGGTGGATTATAATTATTGATCTTGGTAAATCGACTGTTATGAGAATATTCACTTAGAATTAATGATAAATACCCTTGAATTTTAAGAAATGAGACTTCGTATCGAATCATTATACTTTTTGATGAACACTATTTCAAGTTTACGTTTAGTTAGAAGCTGATGGAACTCTACAGAATGTAGCATATAATATGAATAAACACAAGCGACATTCATTATTATGTGTGTACAATATGAACAAATATAAGGCTGACTATTGGTATCTGTCGACACAGTTCAACTTGAGAACTTTGCTATGTTACGTGGATTTGGATGAAATGGGGGGTGAGTGGAGGTATATCTCCTCTCTTCCTTGACCTCGGTACTAGACGGGGGTGAGTGGTCATCATCACGCCTCGGCCGGCTTTACCCCCGGGAAAGGACCCCGGTACCCATTGGATAGGAAGCTGGTGTGTTTCCAGTAGGGATTAAATCTTTCCAGTCTCGTACTTATCTTGCCTTGGCTGGACAGACTAAATTTACTTCATTGGAAAAGCCCATTTGTTAAAATATGAAGAAATTTACAGTTAATTCTGTATAAATTAATCAGATATTTCTTGTTACCGGTAATATAAGACATCTCGTAATTTCTTAATTTTCATACAACATCTTTACAAAATCAACAGATATGAAAAGTGCGTTTAGAGTATGTACAAATTCCTTTCCGTACGTATACATGTACATCGTACTTTGTATTAACCAAGCCACATAACAAGAGACGCAGCCTTCGAACAGAAGCGAGAAATTTATCCGTCTCTTACAATTTTCTGAGTGAAAATATGGACTGAATTTTGATTTATATGATTAATTATAACCTGGAGTATCTTTATTTTATCTGCCTAATGAGAATTCAATGCCGTATGCTTGAACAACATTACGTATATTCTATTTTATCTTGTGATTCATTTTCTATAGGCCCAAAGTTTTAATTCTAAGATGTGCCCATCACAAACAAAGAAATTTAGGTCAGTGGTCAACATTGCGTCTGAATGTGGCCGATTTTAATGTGAAAGCACATCAAAGACAATACTCGCTGCATTTATGGCTAAATTGGTCTGATAAAAATAAATACGAATGGTATTTTGAGACCTAGTACTATCGTTTAATATAATAAATTATTGTTTTACCTTAAAATATGAAGAAATTTACAGTTAATTCTGTATAAATTAATCAGATATTTCTTGTTACCGGTAATATAAGACATCTCGTAATTTCTTAATTTTCATACATCATCTTTACAAAATCAACAGATATGAAAAGTGCGTTTAGAGTATGTACGATGGGCTAAATTTTGACTTATATGATTCATTATAACCTGGAGTATCTTTATTTTATCTGTATAATGAGAATTCAATGTCGTATGCTTGAAAAACATATTACGTATATTCTATTTTATCCTGTGATTTATTTTCTATAGGCCCAAAGTTTTAATTGTAAGATGTGCCCATCACAAACAAAGAACTTTAGGGCAGTGATCAACATTCTAAATTAATTTTACAGATATAAAACATCCAAGTACAACTTCCAAAATCAAAAGAAGAGATAAAAAATTAAACAAATCAAAATAACCAATATACGCAACGCAAAATGTACAACAGTTTTTAAAATATATTAAAATTGATAGACCTGATGATGATGTAATACACATTGAAACATGTCGTCGATACAAAAAATGTAACAAGATGCAGTATCTACTGAGAATGTTATAATTTTAAGTAATTTTAAACAACATTATTTTAAGTTTGTGTATAGACGGAAAATAAAATATTGTATCAATAAAACACAAACATGACGCAATTAAGATATAAATCATTCTTATCCATTTACCTAACACCTTTATCACTTTATAACAGTGTTCTGCAACTTTTCTTCTTTCATGGAACACCATAATTCGTCAAGGACGCAACACACCTGAAATCTTAAACCTCGTGGTGGTAAATTGGTGTTCTGTGGCACACCAATCGCAGAACACTGCTCTAGAACTCATATGTGGATAAAACATCAATCGGCTATGTACTCAAGCTGTTGAAATGTTGGTATGACTGCTTCATATATACAGAAAACAGTGGAATTTTACATCTGCGCCCCGTATAATATTTCATTCTGTGCTCAGGCACGGAGGAAATTTAATTCCCATCTTTTTTACTTTAATCTACTAGAATATAGTAAGAGATTTGTTGTGGTAACCCCCCCCCTCCCCAAATACTGAAATAGATGACATCAAAGAACGTACCATGGCTTAAGAAACGCATATTTAAAATTGTACGGGCTTGACTTCAAAGAAAATACGACACTTCACTATTACAACGATCGATTGGTTAACGCTGTTTCAGGAAATAATCGCTTTTTTGCATTGAAACCCGTAAATACAAAATTCAAAAGTTACCATTACCACTAGGCTTTAAATTTTTAATTAATCCAGTCACTTACAAGACCATGTCGACCCTGGATTAATTTTCCTTTGAAGACTGTGATTGTTTTTAAACTTTAAAGATTCAACTGTTTCGTATTTATTATTACGTATCATTACTCTTGTAGTTGATATATTTCTGGCAGCAATACGAAAAACAATTAAGGCACGTATAGATTAATGTACAGTAGTTATTAATGCAAAGTTTCTTCAAAATCAGTGATTCATCACAGTTAAGTCCTTGTACCAAAATACGACTTACAGAAACAGTAAAGTTTCATATGAAAGTCTGTTACACAAGAACTTTGACTGCCGTAAGCATTTATTCGACTTACGACACCAGTAACTTCTGTACTGCTGTTGTTGATATGGCGACGAACTGTAGCTTCAAACAGCGCGTCTCCGGGGGTAGTTCGTATCACGAGAACGTAGTCTTTCAAACCCTGATCTTTGGTTTTTTCGTATAAATGTTCTTGAGGATATTGAACAGAGGCACTTTTCACCTCTACAAGCTTAAGTTGTGAACACACTCCATATGGCTTTAGGAGAGAATTTAGATGGTCAACTATTATTAATGACATATTTTTAATTATGGCATCTCCTACTGGCAAAGTCTTACTCCTCTGACATGTACACCAGTGTGGGTCTATACCAGCTTCAGCGCACGTTCGAGACTTGTCAACGGGGAGGAATAAACTTATTTGTCTAGGTTTCGATTTAGCTTCATTCAATTCTCTACTTCGCCTTCGTATCGATTCGTTTTCAATTTGTTCAAGATTCAAGATATCCAGTAGTGTTTCATAAATATCAAATGGAGTAGTGAGACGATGTGTATTTTTATGTAAATTAGCGATAGCAGTCGGATAAAGGTTTCTGAACCAATTAGGAAACACGAAGAATGCAAACGGTAGTCTCTCTTCTAAACGTCCCTGGTAAGTCTCGCGAATTCCTCCCCATCTAATTCCATGGTCACTCATAAAGATAAAAACTGTGTGATTCAATGAACCTGTGTTTACGAGGTGTTTTAGAAATTTTTCGTGAACGTCGTCTCCCAGACTTGGATAATTGAGAAAATCGTGTGTAAGACTTGCGCCCCAGAAAAACGCAAAAGAATCTTTAGATGACATCGCGATAGCAAAGTTTGATATATAATCAAGAAGGACTGCAACAGACATCTTTGGCCCTATGCATAAGTTCGCATTCAGCTGATTCTTGTGTCCAGCGTCATCTTCGGCTGTCTTCATAAATGGTCTTAAGTAATAGTCGGTCGGTTGTTCCTTAAATCCGTGTTTCACGTACGTAAACAATCCCATCCACGCGGCGTCTTCTCCAAACGCTGTCCGATACCCTGCGGCACTGAAGTTCTTCCAGATCCAGTTGCATTTGTCAAATACAGAACTTGTCTGTGGCCAGCACGTGTCGCGTAATTCCTTCTCTGACAGGCCAGAGAGAACTGGGACCAGATTTGGAAATGTATTATCAGCGACCTTGTTATATCCGAAGAGTTCGATGGCGTGCATTCTGCGTAAGAGAGACTCTGTTTTTGGCATTTGTCTGTGGAAATTTAAACGGGACACAGCGTCCATCCCTAGAATCAGTACACTCATACGTTCCCTGTTTCGACTAGATGTATTTTCTCTAGCGTCTTTGCAAAATTTCTCAACTTTTATTTTTATAGGTACAAAAGCGTGGTAGTTTTTGTACACGATTTGGTTATCCACACTACACGTAACTTTCACAAATTCCTCTTCGATGGAAACTTCATTCTTAAATGATGTACAGTTGTCAGCAAACCTGTAGAAAACAAAATGGATCATCCATAAACTGAATAATAGAGATTTAAACTAATAATTTCGATAATATCTTATCCTTACACTATTCTGTTATCAAAATTATCATTTTCACTGCGTGGTTTGGATCTCCAAAATGGTTGATAGCAGCATTCAAGCTCCTCGTCGCTGATGTTGAAGATTGGTAATGTGGACTTCTTAATGAACAATGACGTGAGATTGGCATCAATGAGAAGAGGGTGTTTCTCATGGCAGTTCAGTGGATTTTCCTTTTTAATGAACTCTCTAATGACAGGATCAAGTAAATCCAGATCTGGAATCCTACATCCGACCGTGTCCACTAGGAATCCAGACTGTACATTCAGAAGTGGTTTATCTGAAAATATAATAAGAAACAAGTTACAGGTGTCACATATAATAAGTACCTTGCAATTTCTTTATTTTGGACATTTTTTTTATATCTTAATTGCGTCATGTTTGTGTTTTATTGATACAATATTTTATTTTCCGTCTATACACAAACTTAAAATAATGTTGTTTAAAATTACTTAAAATTATAACATTCTCAGTAGATACTGTATCTTGTTACATTTTATATTGACGACATGTTTCGATGTGTATTACATCATCATCAGGTCTATCAATTTTAAAAACTGTTGTACATCTTGCGTTGCGTATATTGATTTGTTTGATTTTAAGTTTTTGTCTCTTCCTTTAAATTTGGAGGTTGTGCTTGGATGTTTTATATCGGGTTGTAAGTGATGTGTTGTGTGTCCGATATTAAACGGACGGTAGACTGAGTTGCAGTCTACCGTCTCTTAATATCAATACAATCAATACAAAAAATGTAACAAGATGCAGTATCTACTGAGAATGTTATAATTTTAAGTAATGTTAAACAACATTATTTTAAGTTTGTGTATAGACGGAAAATAAAATATTGTATTATTTTGGACATGTTTCGAAAGTTTTTAAAAACTTTAAATATGTAATGGATAAAACCCTGCTTGTAATCCTTGTTACTTACCGAATGCAATATTGTAAGGCAGTGGGATGTTGTATTGCAACTCCCCTCCAATGTCAAAGACGTAGAGAAGAGATGCAAATATTACCAGAGGTATCCATAGCAGCCATCGACGGAAGGACACAGTTTTCCTCTCATGTTTGCTATAAACACCAGGTGATGGATCAGGCAGGTCTCTCAAGAGTCGTTGAGGCCCCATCTTAAAAACAATCATGAATTATCCATCACAGCTTAAAATAAGATGGAACAGGCGTAGAATTATCTGAAAATGAAAAAGCCCTACACTAGAGAAATATTTCTTTGTAACGTTGCTGCCTTGGTAATTTTTAACAAAAATCCATGAGCCTACATTTTCAAATTAAAGTGTAATTATGTAACTTTGTTTATTATTAAGTTGAACTTATTGGACTTTGAACGCTCGGACACTGGTGTCGTGGTTTCGAATCCCGCTCTCTTATGTTGTGCTTTGGGACAGATCTTAAGGAATCTCCCATATGTTAGGCGGCAAAGTCCCTTCAAGGACGGAAGATCCCCTGAGTTATTAATAAAAAAATATTTTTACGAATATTTCATTATAACAAATTATTTTATGAGGTTAAGAAAGTAAACAGTTCGTGATAAAATAAGTTATTTATCGTCTCTGAGTTTTGTCACCATGTAGACTCGTCAGTAGATGCCAACGTCTGAAGTGGCGATGCTGTGAATTGGATTTGTATGGGGTTGCTCGCATTACAGTTGCCCAACATTTACATCGGACAAACCGACAACATCGTTTCAAAACATTAAACCACACCGGTCTAATGGACACGCAGATGCAGTATTCCAAAGACAGGAAGAATATTGTAAAACGTCCATTCGAATTGACATCGGAAAATCATGAAGTTTCAAACGTTGGCAATCGTGTACCGTACCTCCAGTTCACGTCATTCTAACGCGCATGTGCATTGTAAAAACAGTAGCGAAGCGGAACAACAGTGCGCAACATACAGCCGAAGGCCGATTCCGATGTAGTGGAGTTTGTGACAGGAGTTGAACAGGACAGCGAAGTAAACATGGGTATGGCACGCCTAAATTAGTAAATAACAAAGTGTTTAATTATAATGTGTTGAATATTATATAAGAAATACTCTTGGACAATGACTCTTGTTAAGAAATGTGATTTAAATAAGACAGGCCTCTATAACACAATACGTGTGTATGTTTTTAATTACGTGATGTGGTGCAAAGCAGTTAACCTTATTCCAACCGAGGCAAGTGGTTACATGGCCATTATTGGAACTGCTCACTTAGCAGAACGTGATTTCATAAAGTGTGAGACGCAACCAAATGATCAGTAATAGATTTTCAGGAGACAAACACGTACATTGTATGTTACAACAGGAACTGCCAATATTTAAATATCAAGATTCTTTGTATTAATAGCTTCAGGATCTTTTATGTTTGTTATCCCACGACTATTGTTAAAGACAAAATATTTCCCTTGAGCTTTAATCAGACAATTTTTTGAATTAGATTCATAGACGTCATCAATTTCGGAAAATTTAAAACGCGAAAAGTTCGTCTTATAATCGAGGAAATACCACAGTACTTACGTACTTACAAGGCTACACATAACAGTGTGCTTTAACCGTAACTACGTAAAAATATTGAAACATGAACAACATTTTACATAGTGACATTAACTCGGTGATTACGAATTATAGAATTATTTTGTTAGATATCGAAACGTATAATTATTCAGTAAACATATTAGTGAAGGCTACAGTGGAGTATAATACAAAATTCAAGATGGCTCAGTAGAGTCCAAAATGTCTGCCATATTTGTTCTCCTACGCTGATGGATTTTGTTGCTGTATTGATTCACGATCAGCAAACGTCATGGAAGTATTATAATGTAAGGAGTGGAGATGAGTACTCCGTTTGGAGTACATCTCCATTCGCACGCCTCACTGGTTCGTATAAATCTATTATTGCACCGCTGGAAACACTGTATATGATATCACACAGAGTCTTTGTCAATTCTTAATTGTAAGAAGTTGAATATTTAACGTCTCGAAAAACGTATCCAAATTTCTAAATTATATTGGGATCTGTATTTTATGACATGAAGTTTCGATTTTGTTGTTACTGTTCATAAAGTTGACAGGGTTTGATCTGAACTTAATGTGAAGTAGATATTTTTTCATCTTGAATTATAATTGAATTCACCCTTCGTGTTAATCAGAAATACCAGTAGAGTGCAGTGCAGTAGTGTTAAGAAATCAAACATATCTTTAGCTCGAGTGAGACGACAGGAGACATTTCTTTTACCGTTCTGTCAAACGTCTATACTACATATTCAGACTAGAGCGATTAATATTTCTAAGCGATATATCTTATACTTATCCGGGAATTGGTTCTAGGAGAAACTCAGAAATCTTATTTTGGCTACGAATACTACGTCATTGTCTCCCGAGAGCCCTCTGTATACCACGTCACTCATTCACTACGAATTCCAAGGAACAGACGAGCAGGGGCGGAGCGTTCATGTCAACGTGTTAGCCCGGCTAACACGCGTCAACCGTGTTAGCCCGGCTAACACGCGTTCATTTCAACCGTGTTAGCCCGGCTAACACTTTGAACATCAAAAGAAGTCCTAACTTTCTTGGTTAAATGGCACTTCATACATCTGAACACAGAACTGTAAAGATAAAATGCATCTCTAGAAGCTCCAGCCAGCCAGGAGCTTACCTGTAAGGGTGCTGTTAGCCGCGTAGTCCTAGCTAACACTGGTCTGCTCTTTGCACAGTCGCATTTAGAAGTGAGGCGACAGTGTGTTGACTTGAGGGGTGTAGTGGCTGGATAAGATGTTAGCCACACCTTGGCTGCTATTGCATTAGGTGGTTACTTGCCTGCTGTGTTTTTACGTGGAGCTTTCTACCAAATTCTCGCGATTAGAATTGCTTGAATTTTCTTGTACGCGTGTGCCGTGAACTATGGGAGACCAAATTCGTTACGTATACTCGATTGACGAATTCTGTACGACATCCCTTGCCCACCTCAGGGTCTAGCCTAATACTCCGCAACTTCGAACCAACTAAAAAATGAAAATGAAAATCTAAGCATTTAAAGCAATTCCCTATCGTAACTGTTAACCGGTTTTAAAGTCGTACTATAATTTAAAACGTATAATTACCTCCAATGTTTTGGAAGTGAGAACTGGTTCGAAGATATCACTGCAATGTTGTCTTGTCTTCCGGTTGCCTGTCTGAGATTATTTTCCAACTTTCGTTAGTGGCCATCTTGAAACAAAACGTTTCCGTGGTCTTTGCTGCCTTCATTATCAGGGCAACAAGGACTTCTGAAACGTCGGTAAACTTATACCAAACTACACAGCGCTAAAACTCAGAAGACAGCCATCTTTAGATGTACCAGATGCTTCAAAAATATATAACTTGTACTGAATTTTTAAATATTATTTAGACGAGATTCGGCTTCAAGGAATTAATCAATTGTCGTCATTGACAACATAAATCTAGAAGGAAAAATTATACATGATTTTTAACATGGGATCAGTAAGCGATGATAAACCACTTGAAATACATTTTCTCCTGTGAGGTCGGTAACCCAAAATTAGAAGTCAAGAGTTTGGTGTAGCATCGCTTATTCTAGGGTGTAGGAGATCGCCCTGATTTTAGTGGTCTACACGTCCCTCGATACTGGACTTCTTAACAAATGTTCAACTTCTGAGTTCATTCTGTTACAAGATATATTTCCTCCACAGTTGAAACAGTTTCTTAAAGTAACCTAAGAATCATTCACATAAAAGCCTCTTTCAATCGCGGCACATTTAATAACAAACGTTTACCTGAACACAAAACCTGATACTCGTATTAAGTACTACGCTTTGGGACATTTTACTACGTCATTATTTTTCTCACATGAATCTCTGAGCACTGATATTTTCTTAAATTAATATGTAGTTAAGTCGAAACTTTAAAGGCGAACAAATGACAATCTGCACTTAGGTTTTAATGTGATTCCGACTGTTCACGGAAATTAAAACATGATTTTTAATTTGTATCTTATATGCGTCATGTTTGTGTTTGATTAAATATATTTATTTTGTACAGTCTATATTGCATCAAATATCTAATAGTTTTTAAAATTATTTTAAATTGATAAAAACCTGAAGACGACGGTATTACCCGTCGAAACATGTCGTTTTAATAAAAAGCAGTAAAAAAATATAATGTAAAATCGTATTTACGATTAAGAGCTCTAATATAATATTTTACACAACAAAATGTTTTAATATTATATAATTTTTACAACACCAATAAACTTCAAACGTTTGTGTATAGACTGTACAAAATAAATATGATTTTTAATATGCAGTAATTCTATAAATACCTTAGCTATAATAAATATATTTAGATTACGTGCATATTATTAATATTTTAAGCGTTAGCGCCTTAGTGTTTTAAATTTAAGTAGCGGTGTCTCTATGGGTTATTCAGTAATTTCTGAAGTACATGTCTTAAAAAATTTGGAGCGAGATACAAAAGCTAATGGAACAGAACATCGATACAAGTAACTCTGTCGATGTGATTGAAATCATAGATAATTTTATACAAGAAGTACTTATGTCCAAAGAATGGAGGTCTGGTTCGGGACATGACAAAACGCCTCTTACAATTATTTACAACACTGCAAAGTACAGTTACACTTGAGGCTGAACATAGTTAACCAGGAACGTTTGTCTAGCAGAACACTTCAGCTCCAGGACAATGTTCCCTAATTTTACCAAAAAGAAATTTTCGAAATTTGTAGTAAGCCCACGAAAGATGGATTGTCCTCGAAGATCATCAGATTTGCGATTATTCCTTGCGGAATATCAGAATATCTTAGAGAATAAAGAGTAATTAATCCTGACAATATCCGTCAGACAATGAATGTGATATGTTACGAACTTCAGACCTTGTACACTAATAAAGAGTTTTGTGAACTGTTCAGTGTTTTAAAGATGCTGCATCCGCGTTTAGCATGACGTAAAACACACTGAACAGCATTTATAATAATTTGTATTTATGATCTTGCATGTGATTTCTGCTTCGAGTTATCTTTCATGGCAGAAAAACTGAAATCGGCCTAACGACATTTGCGTCACCTTCTGTCAACCCAAATTTTAACTTTCTCTTTAGTGTAGTCTAGCAGTTGAGGTGTTGGGCCGGTTGGTCTGTCCAACTTCTTTAGCGCAAAAGTGTCTTCAAAAGTTAATATTTTGATGACTGTCTCCAGTGTCTGTGAATTCATTTATGCTTTAGGATGTATCTTTCACATCCTCTCCTAACCAGAAGGCTTAAAGCTAAAGCCTTGCTACCCGACTGCTAATTTACAGACTAGTAACTTGACATGAGTAATTTACGATTATCTACAAATCTCAAAGAAGAAAGCTGGATTTCCATAATTATTAGCGATATTTTATTATCTTAACATGTAAACTAGTCAAAATATCTGAGAGAATTGTTTATGGACGAACAAAACGAGGTTGATCCTTGCAGCTAAATAAGTTTATTATAAAGATTTTCCGAACAACGACAATAAAAGTGTAAACAAGATGCAGCTGACTTAATGCAATTTATTGTGAACAAATTTTCTGAAGTTTCTACAAAGAAAAAAAATTTTGTTTTGCGTTACTTCCAGAATTCTGCTCTCAATTTTGACAGCGAATTTTCCTTTTAAACGTGAAAATGATGTGTGTCGGTGAAATGACTAGGTATTGGGGAGGAATTCTTTTCGGCAGATAGGGGACTCCCCTCTTCGTCGCTACGTTCCGGCCGGTTCTCGAACTAGTCTCTCTCTCCAACTGGTATTTGAAGTAAAGCGGCCGGAGCGTCAAGCTCACCATCAACTTCCATCTACTGCTGAAGTTAATGCATGAAATTTCACCTTCACTTTCCCCCTCCCCCCTGTTCATGGCTTGGAGCTTAGGAACGAGTGAAACTTTACTTTTTCCCCGTTTTTTCCTTAAAAATAAGAAAACCCGTGAGTTTGGAATTAAAAGTTACAAAAGGTACTAAATTCTGAGGACGTATGGCCTCCATAAATAATTATTTAAAGACTTATTATTATTATTGTTGTTATTGTTATGTGTGGTCTTACCTGGAGCTTAACGCGATCCGACCGGACAGTGACTGCAAATGTCGATGTTCACACGGTCACATGTTCACAGTCTTAGTTAGTGATGCTGAAATAGCAACACGTCGCCTTCATCAAAGCGAAGGTTGATTTACGAGGACAGAGGTGTGAAAAATATGACGACGTCTTGTTAGGACAGTGTCATTATCGAGTCAGACAACGTGTCCTCTGCGCAGATTCAAGAATGTGTAACTCGCCACAGGGCAGCTAAAACAATTCTTTGTGGGCATCTAACTAACTAACTAAATGGCTTATGGAACACGAAGGTTCATCACCGAATTAACCAAAGCCCTCCACCGGACCCTGTCCTGGGCCAACAAAATCCAGTCTCCTTCAACTCCTATCTCCCATAGATCCCGCCTGACATTATCCTCC